AGAAGGAGAAGGAGAAGGAGAAGGAGAAGGAGAAGGAGAAGGAGAAGGAGAAGGAGAAGGAGAAGGAGAAGAAGAAAGAAGAAGAAGAAGAAGAAAATTAGTCTAGCAAGCCAGTAGTAGCTTTATAGCAGGGTAGTGGATAATCTCAGCAACCTGCTGTTTTCTTTTCCCTGAAGTTCAAGATGGATTCTGGCCATGAGACGGATCAGACTTAATCAGCCTGAATCTGTAAGCATACCTTATGTGGGCTTGAATTCAGCTGCGAGCTGCTTGAAGCACCCAGCAGTTGCAGAGTGCTAAGCTCAGCCATCCTCTCTCCAGGATGTCTCCCAAGGGACAGCTGAGCCCTCAGCATTCACCCCCAGCCAGTGCAATCCTTCACGTCCACTGTTCTTTTCCACTGCTGTGTCTGGGGTTACCAGAAGTCACCATGTGTCCACACGTTTGAACTGCTTCTCTGGTGCAATCAGTCCTGACTTAGGGAAAAGGCTCTACCCACTGCCTCCTTCTTCATTGAAGTTTCTCTTTGCTTTCCCCATGGGCTTCAATTCTTGCTTCAGTTCCTTCTTGAGTCCAGGGTACCCATTTCTCTCCTTGTCCTCCTCATATTGCTGTATTCCAGTCATTCTCATGGTTTTGAATTCTTTTTTTTTTTTTTTTTTTTTTTTTGTGGAACCGGGGATTGAACTCAGGGCCTTAGGCTTGCCAGGGAAGCGCTTATTCCACTGAGCTATCTCTCCAGTCCCATGGTTTTGAATTCTAAGGCTGGGCCTTGCAGATCCTCTCCAGAGACTGCCACTTCTTGAATGAGCAGCCAGAGTGCATGGGTGTGCACATCTCAAGTGTGAGTGTGCATGGAGAGCAAGTGCGTGTGCTATGTGTGCCATGTACATACCAGCATCACTTTGTCGTTTTATTTCTTTTTTTGTAATTTATGTATTTGGCACAGGGTCTTGCTGTGCATCTCAGGCTTGTAGTGACCCTCCTGTTTCAGCTTCCCCAGCACTGGGATTACAGATGTGTGCCACCACACCCAGTTTTGGTGGCTAGCACAGCACATGTGGGGCGGGGCTGGCATGGTACCACAGTTCAAACCTGGGTCCTTCTACTTTGTAGGCAGGCGCGTAGACCACTGAGCTATCTCCCCAGCCCACTTCTGTTATTTTCTGTTAGTGTTACTTAGTGCATTGGTGAGGTGCTTCCCTAAGAACAAGATGCCTCCTATTTGTTGGATTATATGTAGTTCTGCAAACCTGCTAGTTTTCAAAATTTGATGGGGTGGGGGCCTGCCGGTTAGCTCAGTTGTTGAAGTGCCTGCTCATGCACATGCAGTCAGGCACAGGATACTGCAGTTCGAACCCCCCTCCACCTGCCTTCCCAGACCCGCCCTTAAGGCAGGCTGAGCCAGCCCCCCCCAAAAAAAAATCCTTCTCAAAAGTTGATGGGGTGGGCTGGTGAGATGGCTCAGTGGTCTAAAGCACCTACTTAGAACAAGCTTAGCAAAGCACAGGGGCCGCGGTTCAATCCCCAGCACCACATGCCAGCCAGCCCCGCCCCTCTGGTGGACTGAGCTAGCCACACACACACACACATATAAATAAATAAAAATTAAAAAAAAAAAAAAAAGTTGATGGGGAGGAGCCGGGGAGATGGCTTAGTGGAATAAGCGCTTCCCTGGCAAGCGCAAGGGCCTGAGTTCAATCCCTGATTCCGCCAAAAAAAAAAGTTGATGGAGAAAGAGATAAAAAAGAAAATGTGACACACACCTATATTCCCACTTAGGAAACTGAGGCTGGAGGATTCCAAATCCAAGACTAACCTATGCAAGACCCTGTCGCAAAGTAAAAATGGCCGGTGATGTAGCTCATTGGTAGAGCACCTTTGGTTCCATCCCAGTGTCACACACACAAAAAAACAGGAAAAATTGTGCCATGTGTGGTGGTGCATGCCTTTAATTCTAGTACTCAGGAGGCTGAGGCCAGCCTTGGCTACCAAGTGATCTTAAGACCAGCCTCAACTGCATAGTGAAACCCTGTCTCAAAAAAAGTGAAAGCAAAACGTACAAGCAAGGGCCGGCCAGATAGCTCAGAGGATTAAAGCTTCTGCTTAGGCAGACGCAGGGTCTGGGGGTTGAATCCCCAGCCTGCCCTGCTGGCCCCGCTCCTGGGGTGCGCTGAGATGGCAAATGAGATTGGGCATGGTGGTATGTGCACCTGTAATCCCAGCCCTTGGGAGGCTGAAAAACAGGAAGGATCACTACAACTGATCTGTGTAGTGAGACCCTGTACTAAAATACACTGAAAAAAAAAAACAACAACCCAAAAAACTAGAAGCAGAACCTAACCTCAGGAGATCATCAGTTGGGTGGGAGCTCCATATCATGGACACTGGTGACAGAATTTTCAGGCCTGATCTTGATAGGAGCAGCCTGGTGTGCCACCCTGGAACAGGCAGACTAGCTCCAGGATGTCTTAGGAGGTGGCATGCATAAGGACAGCGGCTGGAGCTGTTCCTGAGTTGCCCAGCTCTCTGTAACTTCCATTAATTGGTACTTGTGCACTAAGATCAAACTAGAAAGCCAGCTGTCTAGTTTGTATAGAAGGCTGAGGCAGGAAGATGGCGAGTTGGAGGTCAGCCTGTGCCACTAGGTAAGGCCTTGTCTATCTCAGTCTATAAAATTGGCAGTTAGGGATGTTGCTTGATAGTGTAGTGCCCCTGGGTTTAATCCCTCAGTACTAAAAAAAAAGAAAAAGGAAAACAACTCAAAGCCAAGCACCATGCCAGGGGGCTGGGGAGTTGGCTCAGTGGTATAATACCTGCCTGGTAAGCACAAGGTCTTGAGTTCAATCCCCAGTTCCACAAAAAAAAAAAACCAAAAACAAGCACCATGGCAGGAGGGGCAGGCAGATGGAGACCAGCAGGTGCTGAGTGCAGGGGCTGCACAAGGACCAAGGCAGTATGCCAGCTCCACCCCTCTCACTGCTGTAGGGAGACCAGTGCACAGGACTTCACTCAGGCACGTTTCATCAGCAAATTTGGTTTCTGTGTGTGTTTCATGGTGACATCACAGGAGAGTGCTCACCCTTCTTGGTGCCATCTTTCCTGCCTGTGCCTGTGATCCTCTGGTTTTGGTGGTGTTTAGGGTCATTGAGATGTTGCTGCAGTCCAACTAGACCTGCCAGCTGGTCCCCATGCAGATGGGTTCTAGCATGCACCGTTTGCTACTGCCCACAGGACTCCTCACTCCCTTCCAGGCCTGCTTCCTCAGCATGTGGCAGCCGTGGCTTCAGGACAACCTTGGTTACCTCTGCTGCTTGGTCCTGAGCTGAGGCAAAGTTGAGGCCCAGTCTCCACTAGAGGGGAAGAGGCTCTCTGCTCTTCACCCCAGCATAATCATAGTCTGCCTCATTCCCAGGAGGCTCAATGAGGCTAATAGCTTTTGGGTAAAGCCAAGCAGAGGGAAAAGGCTGCATTGTGCTGAAGACCTGCATTGAGGAACTGAGTCCCTAAGGGTTGCGGGGCTGTGTTGCATTTGGACCTGCAGCTCATGCCACATGAAGTTACACTGCTTTCTCTGTCACTCCATTTTAGGGTTTTTTCTGTAAGACTGAGGATGACTTTAATGACTGGTGCCAGCAAGTCAAAAAGGTATATAGTGGATATCCTCCCCTTTCCTCCCCTCTGCAGCCTGGCCCAAGCCTCCTGGGAAATGGGGTGGGGTGGGGTGGGGGTGTCAGGGGAATGCCCCAAGGCCCTGCTCAACTGTGCCAACTAAATGGGCAGGTGCCTCTGGGTTTCTACCTCGTAGTTGCCCACCATGAGGCTGATGCCACGTGGTAACTTCAGGGTGGGATCTTCTACAGGTGCTCACTATCCTCTTCCCTCCCTAGAACATGGTATTGCATTGGGCTTTGTTGAAAGCCCTGGTGTGAAGCTGCCTGGCTTGTCCCTGTGATGGGGAAACAGAGTTGACCCCATGCTGAGGCAGCCTTTACTCATGGGGTGAGGCTGGGCAGCTGCTTATACTTTCTTCTCACAGCTGTCCCTGCTTGGGGGTGCCCTGCCCATGTTTGAGCTCGTGGAGCAGCAGCCTTCCCACTTGGCCTGCCCTGATGTCCTGAACTTGTCCCTTGGTGAGTCCTGAGCCTGGATGTCCCCACCTGCATGTCCTCAGGTCATGGGGACTGGGCCCCTTGCTGTCCATCTGGTTCACTGGCTTCTGTCAGGTTTTTGCAAGCCTGAGTGTGGTCCATTGGGGTGGTTTGGGTCCAAGAACAGCATGGTTTAGTAAGCCCCCTCCTCTCACCCTTAGCACAGAGCTGCAGAGTCCTTGGTCCTTGGCTCAGTGAGCACCCAGTTCAGTCAAGGAGTCACGGGGAATAGCTCCTTGGGCCCTGGCATGAGGGCAGGGTGCTGATCTTGGAGCACACTGGCCAGAGCCCATAGGCCTAATGAACCCTCAGGTCCTACTCTGTGCTTGACTTGACAGGTGTGAATTGCTGTTCTCTCCTCCCCAGTTCCCTAGTGGCTTAGGATTGAACACTGCTCATGGGTCTGGACCCCCAAAACTGGCTACTGGCACCTCCAGAGCAGTCCTGAGGGGTGTCTGATGAGGCTTTATCTTGTTTTTTCTAGATTCTTCTGATGTGGAGCGACTGGAAAGATTCTTTGACTCAGAAGATGAAGACTTTGAAATCTTGTCCCTTTGAGGGTCCTGGGGTTGAAAGGCAGCTTCCATGGTCTCGCTGGGACGCCTTTTGAGAACCTAGCCCTGCCTCAGGCACTTGGTGCCACTGTACTGCATTCCATCCACCCAGCCTGCCCCTGCTGAGTGCTGCACCTATGCTGCCGCTGCCTGGAGGCCTGCGCTGCCCTGGACGCCGTATGCTTGGAGCCAGCCCACCCAGCCCAGGGTGTGCCTCTGGCCACCTGCAGGAAGAGGTGCTTGGCAGGAAGCTCAGTGTGGGGCCTGAGCTTGCAGAGTTCTCTGCTTGGCACTGCCAGCCTTGCGTCCCCACACTGGCTTTGGCCCTGCTCTCCTAGGCGCCAGGTCTGTGGTTGGTTTGGAATTAAAAGCCCTGTTTGGAGTTGTTCAACACCGACATGAGTTTCTGGGCTCCTTCCCAGGTCAGTCTTAGAAGACCTGCAGTTTGGTGTGTGTAGAGCAAGAGTCACGTCATGGCTTGATGCTGGGCAGAGTGAGCTCAGCTGCATCCCCTCTGCCCAGCATGGTTACCAAGGGCTACTTTTGGGAGAGCAGCTCACAGCGAGCACGTGGGAACCCAGAGGCTTCGAGAGCCGAGGGCCAGACGTGGGTCCTAGAGCATCTCAGAGCATTCCTACAGGTGCTGCTTCCATCTCCTTGGGCTGAGGCATTTGGAGACCCCACCGCCTGCTGCTGCTCGCTGTCACACCAGCTTCCCTGAGTGGCTCTGCCTGGGACACTATGACCAATGGGATGGAGCACCCTGCAGCCCACGTTCTCTTGCCTTTCTCAGCATTGCTGGGCAGGTTGGGCAGCTGCGCCCCCAGCACTCACAGGTGAAGTATCCAGACTGTCATGCTCACTTCAGCAACCACCGCCCCTTCTTACCCTCAAACCTTGCTACTGTGGCCGATGGCCTATGTTCCACAACAGGAGCCATCCTCCTGCTAGCTTGTGTAGGGGGGGGGGAGGGGTGGCCACATAGGCGCCTTTCTGCAGCTGGGCAGGACTGGTGGAGGCAAAGTGGGTCTTGGCTATAGCCATGCATGGCAGCACCAGCCACCCAGAGGCAGTAGGGGCCACCCCAGCCCCCAGATGTAATTTATTTCCTTCCTCTCCCTTTTCTCTTCCTGCTTCCTCTCCTTATCATGGCTGTGAATGGGGTGGGCAGCAGGAAGGGCTGGAACCATTTCTTTTTTGGGGTTCCGCTTTCTGGCCTGCTGCTGGTTCCTGAGGTAGGGGACAGAGTGTCCAAGGAGCTGCCCTCCACACCTGGATAAAGATTACTGAAGAGGAGGTGGTTCACTCAGTATAGTTTGCAGTTCTTAATGGCAAATAACAAGTTTCCATAGAAAACAAGTGTGTGTGTCTACTGATTTTCTTTGGGTTAAAGTTGGTGTCTTTTCATAGCATCTCAAGTAAAACTTGCAGAGCTGGGCAAGAAGAGCCTGTGCTGCGCCTAGCCAGGCTGTGGAAGATGGGCACAGCACCTGCCCCCACTCTGGTTCTGGGGAGTGTGTAACGCCAAATCTGTGCAGTGCAGAGAATTAGTTTTAGGAGGGCATAGGTCATGTCCCATGTGCGGGCTGTGCTTGTGAGTAGCCTGGCTGGGGCCAGAACACGATGTGGTGGGGACTGCCCAGCTGCTCCATGCATTTCCTGCTCCATCTGAGCAGGACAGGTGCCAAAGACCCAAAGGGAGGAAAAGAAGCCACTCATTGCCCAGCTGGTGTGGCACGAGGGTCACACCTCTCAAGTACACACCAGACAGCTGCTGGAACATTCTCTCTGGTTATTGAGGCAGGGTTTCGCTGTACCACCCAGGCAGGTTTGAACTTGTGACTTTACCTTAGCCTCCTTAACGCCAAAGTTACAGGCATGCACCATCAGCTCATGGAATACATTTTTGCTTATAGTCCTGAAAGGCAGAACTTAAAACCATGCTGTTAATAAATCCCAGGGAGGAAATAGGTCCTTCCTTACCTTCACAGCCTCTAAACACTGTACCTCCCACTCCTGTAGACAGAAGTCCTCCCCCCACCCCAGAGGACCCTGGACAGGCCCACCTTGGACCCTCCTGCTGTGTAGGGTGTTGCCTTCCATCCCAGCACTCTACCTGGAGACTGCTGTGGGGGGTCGGTTCCACCAGAATTGTAAACCCTAACTTTGGGTTGGACAAAAGGTGATACAATAAAAAGACACTCTAGGGTCATACAAACATGAGTAGGGTTAACATCAGCACTCAGAGCATGGGACCTCAAACTGTGATGGTGTAGCATGGCACACCCAGCAAGGCTACCCTGTTAAGACTACAGACCCAGAGGAGCCCAGGGTAGGCAGGACCTTTTCCAACCAGGTTCAGTTGCTGCTCAAGGTTGGCTCAGCCCATAGCTGGCATCTGAGCACAGAAAACTACATGAACATGTTTGCAGGTAAAATTTTATTGGGGCTTATAACAGATTCAGAAGCAGGGCCCAGTGGCCCATGCCTATAGCTTCAACTACTTAGAAGGCCTAGGCAAGTCAGTGAGATCCTATCTCAAATTAAGAGCTGGGTCAGTAACTCAGTGGTCAAGCACTTCCCTAGCATGTATAAGGCTCTGGGCTCACACCAGGACTTAAAAACAAAAAATTTTTTTTTTAACTTTTTAAAAAATTTATTGTGTGTGTGTGTGTGTGTGTGTGTGTGTGGCCAGCTCAGCCCACCAGGAGGCAGGGCTGGCTGGCATGTGGTGCTGGGGAATTGAACCGCAGTCCCTTGTGCTTTGCTAAGCTTGTTCTAAGTAGGTGCTTTAGACCACTGAGCCATCTCACCAGCCCCCAAAGTAATTTCTATTATAAACTTGCTCATTTTTTTTAGTACTAAAATGAGTAGCAAGCCAGAAGATAATTCCATGATACTGCCTGGAGCCCACACAGCCAGGACTCTGCCATGTTTGTCTCTGTACAGCCCAGCCTCAAGTCGCAGAGGAGCCCTGCAGGTCTCTAAACCAAAATTGGAATGCCACCGAGTGTTCAAAGGGCCTGGTGCACGTGTCTTGGTGGTGCCAGGTTCACTGCCACAGCTCCCCGAGGGGCCTCTGTGCTGCCCCAAGGATGGCAGCCTCAGACAACAAGCAGATTTCCTCATGGACATCCTTGATGCTCCTGGAAGCGTCGACCACCTGCTCCCAGAGGACACATGACAGGTCATTACCACCTTTCCCTTTGTTCCAGTGTTTGTGGCACAGGGATGCTGGGGCATGGCATGAGGCCTCTGAGATCTCGCATTCCATCTCACCTGAGCAGTATACTAGGTGCAGAGCTGCCCACACTCCTGCCATGCCCAGTTTCAAAAGAAACACCATGTCAATGGCTGCCCTTGTTCCTATAGCCCACCACTATAAGCACAGTGTGCATGCGGTAGCTCATGCTACCAAACACCAGAGCTCTCATGAGGCTGTCTTCCCAGTCTGCAGGTGACCTCTGCGAAGGTAGCTCCCAGCACTCTGAACATGAGGACCTGGAAACCTGGGTCTCTTCCCTGTCCTCTTCCTCTGCACTGTACCACAGAGAAGCAGTGTTGGGAGAAAAACTACTCCCAGAGGGGGGCTGTGGAGATGGCTCAGTAGAATAAGCACTTGCCTGGCAAGTGTAAGGGCCGGAGTTCAAACCCCGGTTGTGCCCCCCCAAAAAATGTAACACAAATGCAAAGGCAGTCTGTGCTACTGGTCCGCAGGCAGAGTGAGGCTGCAGACATTTAGCATTTGCTTCGGTGCAGGCTGATCCCTAGACCGCTCTGGTAGGGAGGGACTCTAGCCCCACAGGCTTGGCATGACATGGATGTGTGGGTGCTGCCAAGCCCACTAGGACCTCCCTAGCTACTGTGCAAGTCATGTCCAGGAGAGAGGGCAGAGGCCAATGTCCTGGGAAGGGTTGGGCCAGCACAGTGAAGAAGCAGGACCAAAGGCAAATCTGCCACAGCTGCTATCCTGGGCAGAGAGAAACCCCAAGGGAGAGAAAAGGAGAGGACTCAGGCTGTACTGTATGGGGGTGGGGGGAGCCTGCACTGTGCTAAGAAAGAACACACATATCCCATGGGACATTATGGTGAGGTCTGAGGACAAATACTGAAACCAGCATACTGCTCCTCTGGACATGATCCAAGCAGACAGGACTACTATCTGTCTATATGCTATTTGCTATTCCTGGTATCAGGAACCCAAAAGGTGAATTGTACAGCAGCTCCCGAGACAGGTTCTCAAAGATGTGGGTATCTAGGGCCTTTCAGAGGACAAAAGCAAAGGGGGCCTGCAACTGCACATGGTCTAGTGGATGAGGCACCATGACTCCACATTTTGCAGAATCCACCTAAGGACCTGGGATTTGTTACACAGAGGCTATGGGCAGAGTTCAGTGGCAGAGCCCTTGCCTGTGTAAGGCCCTGAACTCCATTGCTAGCACCCCAAAAAAGAAGGGCTGCGGTGACTTGCTGGCATGTAGCCAGCTGTCTGAAGCTCCATGGAGGACAAACCAGCGACTGCGGCAGCTGTGCCACTGTGACCTTGCATAAGGGTGGACTTGCGCCTCTGAGCAGTCTGCACTCATCCCAGTTCCAGGGCCCTCACCTTCCAGTTCAAAGTCGAGTCCCTCATGAGCTGCTGGAAGCTGCACAAGGCCCGCTCCTGGAAGGTCTTCTCCTCGTACCGCTCACGGCCAAACTCCCCCCGTGTGGCAGCATCTGCCAGTTGTAACTGAAGGAACAGGATCAGATCAGGCTTAGGCAGACCCACATCCGGCTGCTTGCACCAATCTAGGGAAAAATTCTGCCAACAAAGAACAGAATAGGGGAAAAAGCGAGTAGGGTCTAATGTTGTCCAGATCATGAAAAAGGAGAAAAAGGAGCTAACATTTGGTACATACAATACCAAGAGTACACAGCAGTGGCACTTTATTGGTAAAAGCTCACATTTTTTCTCATTGAAAGCACTCAGAGGATACAATGGCTTCTGCCCTGGTATGCATACTCCTATGGTGGCCCTTATGACAGATAGCTCTGGACCTCTATCCAGGAAGAAAGTGCAAACTAGGCAGAGCCTTGAGGGCTACTGGGCACAGAATGCCTGAAGTAGAATGCACAGAGCCAGATCAAGCACAGGGCCTTTGGCCATAGCTGGCCTTGCACCAATCCCACCAGGAAGAGGAGATGGGACAGTTCTGGAAGCCAACTGGATACTGGACTATGCTAGAGCTCAAGGGCAGATTCCTTGTTAGGCATCCTGCCACCCTGTAAAGATGGTGTCTGTGCACCTGGAGGGAAGGCAGGGCCGAGAACCCTTGGCCTGTAATACCATACCCTGAGTTCACAGGCCCATGGCCCTACCTGAAGGGCCTGCAGAACCAGCTCTCAGCAGTGGTCAGCATGTCAGGATAGGGACAGTCCCATAGCATACTGACCACCTCGCTTGTCCTCCTCGTTGTACAAACTGCTTTACTAACAAGGACTCTAACGTGAAGAAAGATAATTCAAATGCTACCCACTTTGCCATTAATCATCACCAAGGGCTGTTACCACACAAAAAATAAACAAGGGCCTGGGCAGTATGGCTCAATGGCATTGCAGATGCCTAGCATGCATGGGCCTTTGATCCCCAGTACCACCAAGAAAGAAAACACAGAAGCAGTTATCTGCCTCAGGAGAGCACAACCCAGCACTCCTTGAAGTGGTCTTATAAAAATAAATTTTTCTGGTGCTAAGGACTGGATCCAGTATCCCTTGCATGCTAGGCACACATTCTACCCCTGAGCTATACTCCCACAGCCCCCAAAATAAAAAGTATGAAAAACTTAGCTGAGCAGGGCAGTACCTGCCTGTAACTCTAGCTACCTGGGAAGATACTTTGGAGAAGGAAGGAAGGAAAAATTTTTGAAAATGTTAATGCAAGGAAGGAATGTGGAAAGAAATACTTCAAGAGATTTAATATTTCAATAGGTGAACTTTAATTGAATTTGAGTTCAGTGTAACTAAAAATACAAGACAATCTGGGCATAACAGTCCACACCTGTAATCCCAGCACTGTGGGAGGCTGAGGACAGTCACTAGGCAATTTTAACTCTGTCTCAAAATAAGTAAAAATGTGTTGCAGATGCGGCTCAGTGGTTAGACTCTGTGTTCAATCCCAATACTATAAAATAGACAAAAAAAAAAAAGAGGGCCACAAGGAAAGCCAATATTCTGGCCCTAACCTTCCAAGGTCAATTAAAACTCAGGACATATGAGAACTTGTACAGTAACATCATGTAACTTGGTAGTATCCCAAAATTTTCTGATCAAGGAGATTATGGGGCCAAAGAGGAAAGTGATCGATGATGTAGAGTGTGCCTGAGAGTCACATGGAGAGAAAACATTCTCTCAGGCTTTCACAGAGAGCACA